TTTTTAATTTTTTTTTATTATCAAAATATTTTTCTTTCATCCAATTTCAATTTTATACTTTGTTTAGACTTATTTTCTGTGGATGATTTCCGCTTTCTTACGAAATAATGCCGCGGTCACGTTTTCTGAAAAACTTATTCTATGCGTGGACAAACAAGGCGTGCGACCGCACGCCTTTCCTGGGAAAGCCTGGTTATTGTAAAAATATTTTACTTTTTAAACAAATCACAAAGAAACAGAGCTATAGAGAAAAATCGCTTTTAATGATTAAATCTTTTTTTTTTTTAAATTTTAGGAAATTAAAAAAAAAAATTTAATTAAATATAAAAGTCTTAATTATGCAAACTCTTTTGTTTATTATTCTTAAAACAAAAAAACAAATACTTCTACGCCAAACTTTAATCGTGAAAGCTTAAAAAAATACTCAACTGAAATAATTTAAGTATATTTAATAATTTGAATCGTATCTGTTTATAATAAACATTCATAAAAGTTGGTTTATTAAAAATTAAGTTCCTTAACTTAATTTTTTTAAACAAACTCAAAAGTATTTTCATTCTACGTATAATTACAACTCTTTTTCTTTTTCGTTTGTAAGCAATTTAATTAATAAAATACAAAAAAGAATAAATATGAGGTAATCTTTGTTAAGAACAAATTTAATTTATTTATTGAACTATATTTTTATTTTTAATTATATATCAACTTAATTAAATATAGTAACATGTTAAAACATTTTAACATGGCTTGTGTTATTTATAAACCGTCGGACAGTTGCCCTTACAGCACCATTGTTTTTGGATAATATTTTATTTTGATGAAGATCAAATAACTTACATTTGATTTTAATTACGTAAGTCTTCTCTTTTTTTTTTATGATCATTGCATCGGCAAAGCATCGGCAAAGTCCCAATATTTAAAAGTTTTTAAAGTAAATCTTTTGTCCTTCAAAATACAATCCATATTCGATCTTTAAACAATTTAGAGAGAATAGAAATATACAAGGTTTTTATATACTAGTTTGTCTTGTTTTATAAAGAAAAATACAAATTCATTAGTAAAAAGACTGTCATTAAATTAAAACGTGATATTAGTATTTATTTAACGGAATCTGTAATGTGCGCATGCATAATGAAACCTCCGTTATATAAATATATTCAACGTAATATTAGTGTCATCAGTGGATGTTATAGTCTACTCGTGATTTCTTTACCTTATAATATAACTTGATTTATGAAAAAAACTTATTGAATCGCACGCAGAAGAAATTTAACAAATTGTCTTCATTAAAATATTGCGATTAACAGGTAATTTTATTTTTCTGTGCCAACCCCTCCCCCCGCATAACTTAAAGGTAGTAAAGGTATCTATGCCTTTAACTAATAAGAAAAGCAAACACATTTTTTTTAATATCTCGAAAAAATGTATTTATTTTTTTGTTATCATGATAACAAAAATATTAAGACATTTTTTGAGAAATTAAAAAAAATGTCAATCCTTAATTACAAATTTTTTTGCAAATGTTTTTAATTATAAATTCAGTAAAAAATTCTTAAAAAATCTATATTACAAAAAATTTCTGTATTAATAAATATGGAATATAGATTTTTTTAAAGTTTTTTACTGAAAACATTAATAAATTACTACTTTTTATTAAAAACATTGCAAAAAATTTGTAGTTAAGAATTAACAAACAATTTTTCATGTTGCTAAATATTTGGATAAAAAGTTTAGCGTCAAATTAATTGCTATAAAAAGGAAAGATATATCGCGATGAAAAGTTACAACAATTATTTTTAAAGTAAATTCTTTTTTTTAATAAATAGCTTTACATATCGTTATTTAAAAGTTAATGTGGTTTTTTTAAAAATTAATTACTTCTTTAATGTTACTGCTAATTTAATAGTTAAAAAATGATAAAAAGTAACTTAACCAAAACAGCTCTACGCGTATGTAAAAATTGCTTAAGGCGTACGTAAATCGCTCGGCGTAACGCTTTAAAACAAGGCCTGCATATATTTGTGTGCATTTTTGATAATGTTGTGTGTTGTGTACTTTTAATCTTTGTTTAGTATTGTTATTCTTTGTTTAGTATTGTATTTTTGTGCATTATTTACTATGTTTTGTGCGATGTTCATATGTTTGATGTTTACATTCTCATGTATTTTATTAAACTGTCATATATTGTCGTTATAATGTCATATTCTTGTGTGTAAAAGTTTGGCTTTTTTGTATATTATAAATTATTTTTTTTACAATAAGTGTTTGTATCGTATGGTAGGCTGTTATGTTTTGTCAGTATATTTTGCTTGTAACTTCCCTTGCTTGTGCTTTAATATTTAGTATTGTATATATTTAATTGTTGTTTGAAAATTAATATTGATTTTTTGATACAATATAATTACTTTATTATTGAAATAACTGTTGCTTAATTTATTAATATTATTGCTATTATTATTATTGTTAATATTATTATAATTGCTATTGGTATTTAAAATTTATTTTCGCAAAGCAAACTTAAATTAAAATAAATAATCCATAAACATAAAAGAGTATAAAAGCTAAAAAAACAAATAATCTAAGTTAAGAAAATCAAATAAAAAAATAAAAAAATTTGAGTGTAAAACATTTATTATTTAATGTAAACTTAATTTTAAGCAAAAGTTTTAAATTAAATTTATCACAACTTCTCATGAATAAATTGGCTGATACAAAAGCAGATTCATAGTGAGAGGAAAGGTCATGAAAGTGTTTGACCCCTACCCCTCCCCTTTCCTCAGATTTTTTATTTGTTTTTTTAGAAATCAATAAATTTAACACAGCATGATGTTTAAAAATGTAAGTAAGTTAAACTGTTTAAAAGTGCCTTGAAATTTAATAAAATTTTGAGGTACAAATTTTAAATTTTATTAAAAAGTTAGGATACTGGGTGCGACAAATCAACAAATATGCACACATTTGTTAAAAAATAGACAGAAAAATGAATATCATGTTTCCTTATTTTTGCTTATGCAAACAATGGCGTTTGATTAAGATTTTTTTAAACAAGCCCATTACTTCAGCAATTTTTTTTCAAATAGTTTTGCGGTTGATAGTATTTTATTTATTATAAAAAACACATATTTAAAATGAAAAAACAATCAATTTCAGAGAATTTAAAAAAAACAACAAGCTAAAACATAATTACTTTTTTGGGAAAAGATTACTACATCTGTCCAACAATATCCATAGAGTAGTGAAATAACATCCGCACATTTTTGTGTAAGATCATCCACTTTTTTTCGTTACTGAATTAACATCTGTGCAACAACATCCGAAATTTCATTGATGTCTAATAACATCTTTAGAAAGATGTAACTACATCCGAGAGTTTTTCTCGATGTGTAACTACATCCGCCTAAAATAATGCATTATTAAATAAAATAAATTTTCGGACGTAGTTACATCCAAAAAAAATCAGATGTGTAACTACATCTGGTTAAAATAATGCATTATTAAAAAAAATATTCCGAATGTAGTTACATTTATAAGTTACATATATAAATATTATATTATATAAGTGCTGCTATATCGACTGACAAATAGCCTGACTCGCAACAGAATGCTGCTACATCGACTGACAAATAGCCTGACTCGCAAAGGAGTGCTGCTACATCGACTGAGGGTTAGGTTTGGGCAGGCAGTCTATCAAATAATTAAAAAAAAAAAAAAAAAATTATTGTTCTTAAAATAATGCATTACAATTATTTTTTTTTTGGCGGATGAAGTAACATCCGAAAAAAATCAGATGTGTAACTACATCTGGTTAAAATTATGCATTTAAAAAAAAAAAAAAATTTGGATGTAGTTACATCCGAAAAATCTACAGATGTTGTTGCACGGATGTTATTATACATCAATGAAATTTGGGATGTTATTGCATGGATGTTATTATACATCGATGAAATTTCGGATGTTGTTTCATGGATGTTATTATACATGGCAAAAACGGATGCTATTGCTCTAACCCACTTTTTTTGATAGCTTTACCTTTAAGTTAAAATAACTAAGTACACTATTGAAGGAAATAATTATGTTGTGGTATGATTTTTGCATGCTTACAAAAGCATGAAAATTTTTACTTAAAATGAATGCATTTGCAAAACCTTCAAAAGAAACCGTGCTTATACATTATAATTGCTTTCTTTTAATGAAGAAAGCAATCATAATGTTTAAGCATGATTTCTATTAAGTAATTAACAATTACATTAAAAGTTTTTAGCAAATGCATTATAAATAAAATTTTGCATGCTTGTTATTTTTTTTTTAATTTTCTTATTTTACTAAAAGTGAAGTAATGTTTGTTTGCATATTAAAAATATTTTTAAAAGTTTTTTTAAGATGCAAAAAATAACAAAAAATAAAAATTGAATAAATTTGCCAAACATCTTTGATATATTTTAAAACTCGTTAGCTAGAATAAAAATTATTTGAAAATAAAACTGCCTTATTTGACATAAATCTCTCCAATTAAACATTTGTTAAAAAAAAAAAAAAAAAAAATATGTCATGCCCTGGGATAGTTAAAATATAGTTAGCAGATGCGATTATTTTAAGATTATTGTAATTATTTTGTTTAATAATGTAAATAATTTTCTTATTAGAAATTATTTTTTCATGATAAAATCGTTTGTAATGATTTTTTGATAGCCTCTGTACTTTTTTTGCCTTAAACTCTAATCTGAATATTTTTTTTTCAATAATCGCCTTTATCACATCGCAATAACATAGCCAGGAAATCTTGTAGCAGTTTAATTGTAATTATGGAATCAATTAAATTAAAAATTGCATTTATATTTGCTTAGTTATTTTTTAGCGCATTTTTTAAAAGCACTAATTGTCAAAACTTGCAAAAAGCCATGGCCAAGTTGTCAAAATAAAGTATAATATGCATAGTCATATAAGGCACGTCTCTTATGCGAAAGTCTGTAATGTTATCTTTTTTTTTTTTTTTTATTTAGAGTCCTTTTAAGGTCATCTTCACATATTATTGAAAGTGTGGTCCCACTTTCTTGTTTTTGTTTATACAAATATGATGAACAGCCTATGCTTGATCTAGTTAGAAAAGGATTAATATTGACATCAGGTTTTACAAAAATGGTTAATCCAGAATCTCCTGCAAAATTAAAAAGTTTAGACAAAGTAATCATAAGTTTTTTTTTTCTATTTTATTAATAATATGAAATTTAAAGTACTAAACTGTTTATAAATAAGAAAAAAAAAATGAAATTTCAAATTTAACTTTCACTTAAATTTAGGTTATGCTAAAAGATGAATTGAAAGTTGGTCTTATTTTTGTAAAAGAAGGTCAAAGACTAGAAGAAGAATTTTTTACAAACACAGAACACAGCAAAGAGTTTGATGATTTTCTTGGTTTCCTAGGTGATAGGGTTAAGTTAGGAGGATTTAAGGGATATAGTGGTGGTTTAGATACAAAGCATTCATTAACTGGAGAGTATTCAATATACAAAGAATGGAGAAATTATAAAGTAATGTTTCATGTTGCAACATTACTACCAATGGATGAACATGATGATTTAAAGGTAAAAAATGCTTAAAGTTGTTTTCTTTAAATTTTAAACCAAACTAATATAAAAACAGATTTTTTTTTCAATTAATAAGAGTTAAAAAATGATTTTTTTTTTTAAATAAATAAAAGATTAGCAGGAAATCTTCTTAATTTAAAAAATAAATGGTTCCCAATAATTCGACTTCTCTAAGATATGGCGTGGCTTTTAAAAATATCTTTATATACTTCTTTTGTTATTGCTCTCTCTATTTTTACAATCTCATCTGTGGTGTTTGCACTAAAACAGCCTTAAACCAATACACTACCCCCATCATGTTTCACGTTTGGCAATACACTCTGTTCCATTCACCAATTTTTCTTTAGGTTTTTCATCCATTTACCATTTTTTCTTTAAACGAATGATCTCTTAAAACCAAAGACTTAAAACTTCGGCTTAATTGTCCAAAGAAAATGTTTCCAGTCATTGATGATTTTTGGTGTAGTTTTTCCCACTCCAGTCTCTTATTTATTTTGAATAAAAGGAAAGGCTTTCTTGCTGCTATTCTTCCACCAAGCCCTGCTTCAATTAACACATTTCCGCTTGAAATGTGTTAATTAAATATCATTGGTATAAAAAGTTTCAAAAAACATGAAATGACTTAAATATGTGGAATAACTGACTTACCATGACCCGTATAATTATTACTGAATAAAAATGTATTACTGGTCACAGTAAAGCCCGTTTTCCACTAGACGAAAAGTTCGTGCGAAGCGAATATTTTTGTTGTTAAGCATGCGCAGATTAAACATTTTTGGCGATTATACTGATTTTTTTTCGCTACAGCGTTTCCCTGCAGCGAAAAAAAAAAGTCGGATTAATTTCGACTTTTTGCAAATCGCCATAAGCGAAAACCAATAAAATTTTGAATATTATATCACGTGATGTCAACATTAAAAAAAAGCGAAAACATGTTGTTTTTAAAGTAACAAAAAACAAAATTCTTAACCTGGCGTTCTTATTAATTTTATATGAACTTACTCTAAAAATTGGCTAGCATGAGTAAATTAATCAAACAAGGGGCAAGACTTACATAAAAAAAATGGCCAGACTTATATATAAAACTAAATCGAAAATTTACAAATATAAATTTTCACACTGTCAATTACGAAAGTTACACTTCATAAGAATGTTTATCTTCAAGTGGCCACACAAAGATAAACCTTTTTGTGAAAAGTTCTTTATAGAGTTAAACCTGATGTTCGTTCTTGCAGTAATAGTTTTTAATAGAAATGTTCATATCAGAGTTTAGCATTTATTTTCTTATACTTTCTTGTAAAAAAAAACCTTATATTAAACGATTATATTACAAAATAATATCAACGACAAAAAAGTAGTGCGAAAGAAAGTAAGTGGAAATCAAAACAGCGTTTCGTCGTAGCGAAAAAATTCGCTTCGCGCGAATTTTTCGTCTTGTGGAAAGCGGCCTTAAGTCTATTCCATACCTACCACTTAAATAATTTCGTTTTATTTCAATAATTTTTTAAATAGACCAAAATGTAAAAATCTTTGTTTTGAGTTAACGATTAACTTTCAATACTTTACAACTTCCGTAAAAACAGGAACGGACCTCATTATTTTTTTCTATAATAAGTTTCTATTAACTTTTTTCAGGCCATCAGCAGCTTATTCCATAGATCATCCAGGTTATTTTATAAAAATGCAGAAAATTGTTTAGGTAAAATATTTGGATTATATTTTCCTCCTAATTTTGCTATTAGCTGAGTTGTTTCAAATTTTTTTAAATTTTAGTATGAGTGATGAGTGTAAAAGCTTAAAAAACAAGTATATTACAAAAGTGTATTCCTAAACTTGTATATGTATAGAAAACGTTTTGGCTATCCGGAAAAAAGTTGAGAAAAATCCAGAATAAGATCTCTGTTATTAGGGTTCTTGCCCTGTTAATTTTAAAGAAAAGTAAAGTTTTCATGTAAAAAATTTTTTCTATAAAAAAGAAAGTTAACTTTTTAATGCGCACACTTAATCTATTACTATGCACATTAAAACCTTAAACTCTATCGTGACATTTGCGCGCAAACTTCAAACAGTGTTTTCGTGTTTTTAGAAATCTTAATAAGCTTTTTAAAAAATTCTCTCTCTTTCGTTTGTTATAGTATATCTTTATATATGATATGCATATAAAAATGCATTACAAAATATAAATCCATATGACCTAAACACATAAAAACACATAATAACAAATGTTTAACAACTTGGAAAAACAAACAATCAAACGATCTGGTTTTTTATCTAAACATAGATGAGTTTTTTCCGGAAATTCCCGGAATTCCGGAAATTCACTTAAAAAACCTATAATTTTTCCAGAAATTTCTGGATGTTTTTTGATATTAATTTGAAAAAAAATTAATAAATTTTTACATAAAATTTTACATAGGACAACTTTTGCATTTAAACAAATGTTTTCTATAATTAAAATTTTCAAGAGATAAATTCTCGTAACAATTTTGTTTCTTTTTTTTTTTTTTTTTTGCTTTTTAATTTATTCAAACTTTTTCGAATATTAGAAATTCCTTTTTGTAAAAAGTTAAATAATATAAATTCCGTTTTAAAATAATCTAAATTCCGCTTTTCAGTTAAATGCGATCAACTTTTAATAAAATAATTTTCTGGGATTTTCCAGGATTATCATAGAAAAAAAATTTCCGGGATTTCCATAAAGTCAAATACTCATCTATGTATAAAAGCAGATTTTTTTTTTTACTTCTTTAAAATAAGGTATTAAACAATCTTGTTCTTTAACATGTAACATAGAGCTGACCGTGTGAGATGCAAGGGTTTTGAAGATAAACACTAAGTTTATCAAGAGTTTGACCTTTGAAAAGAGCAACGTTTTCTAGAGTCATCATCATCTTCTAATTTAAAAGTACAGAGTAATATACTTTAAATACAATCGACAAAGGACTTGATTTGTGTTATTATTATTATAAGCAATGAATTAAATAAATTACCTGACTTTAAAAGTTGCTTTACTAATTCAAAAATAATATAAGGTTCATCTTTTATTACAGAAGTTATCAAATAAAAATTGTCGATCTTATTACAAATTAAGCTGATGAACCAAAGTTTTCGATTTTATTACTGATTAAGAAGATATTGACAGATTATTAAGTCTCAAGAGTACCCCATCGCCTGAGTTCAAAAGTATAAAGAGAAGTAGTATTCTAAATCCTATTATATAAAATATAAATAAATGTAAATGTAAAAATATACATATAAGTAAATGGTAAAAAAGTCTGTGTAAATGCGCACAAATGGGCAGCAGCAGCGGCAACGTTAAATTAAGTATTAATTATAAGCGATTATGAAACTATTAGTGTGTAACTATCGAAATTCTTTCTACCCAAACTTTAGCATATCTCTTCAAATAAAATATACAGGAATGTTAATGTTTTTTATATAATCTTCACGTTAACACCAGACTTGATAATTGCATGATTTATAAACAATTAACAAGAACATCAGACTAAAAAGAGTGAGTAACAAAACAGTATGTTTATATACTAATATAAATAAACCGTATATATATATATATATATATATATATATATATATATATATATATATATATATATATATATATATATATATATATATATATATATTTATATATATATATATATATATGTATATATATATACATATATATATATATATTTATATATATATATATATACACATATATATATATATATATATATATATATGTGTGTTTGTATATATATATATATATATATATATATATATACATATATATATATATATATATATACATATATATATATATATATATATATATATATATATATATATATATATATACATATATATATATATATATATATATATATACATATATATATATATATATACATATATATATATATATATATATATATATATATATATATATATATATATATATATATATATATATATATATATATATATATATATATATAAATATATACATTTTTATGTATATTTGTATGCATGTGTTTTTGTTGTTTTGTTTTGTCTATATGTATTCATGTATTTTTTCAGCTTCAGAGAAAACGCCATGTTGGAAATGATATTGTTTGTTTGGTGTTTCTTGAACCTGGTGCTAAATTTGAGCCAGCATCAGTTCGTTCTAACTTTTTGCATATATTTATTGCCGTTCAACCACATTATATCAATGATAAGATATTTTACAGGGTATGTTTTTAAACTGTTGTATAACACAATAAAAAATTAATTTTAAGAATGATTTTAGGTTGTTATGAAATGCAAGTTTCTTGAGATTTTTTAAGAACTTTGACTGTTTTCTTTCTAATACACTCTACAGTTGAAATAAGGAACAAAATAAAATGTACAATACTAATATACTACAGATTAGAGTCTAAAAATTTATTTAAAAAGTGTTTTTTAAGATCCTGCTAAATTTTAAATATTTGAACAGATACTAATCTCAACTAGATTGCCAAAAAAGTTAAATTATTATTGGTTACAGTTTTTGTGTCTATTGATAAATATTCAGGAAATGCTTTCTTCACTTCAGAAAGTCAGGTTAAATAATAGATATTATTTATATATTATTATTATTATTATTATATATTATTATTTTTATTATTATTATATATTATTATATATTATTATTATTATAAATAAGTTTACAGTTGAAATAAGGAACAAAATAAAATGTACAATACTAATATACTACAGATTAGAATACCTAAAAATTTATTTAAAAAGTTATTTTTAAGATTCTGCTAAATTTTAATTATTTGAACAGATACTAATCTCAACTAGATTGCCAAAAAAGTTAAATTATTATTGGTTACAGTTTTTGTGTCTATTGATAAATATTCAGGAAATGCTTTCTTCACTTCAGAAAGTCAGGTTAAATAATAGATATTATTTATATATTATTATTATTATTATTATATATTATTATTTTTATTATTATTATATATTATTATATATTATTATTATTATAAATAAGTTTACAGTTGAAATAAGGAACAAAATAAAATGTACAATACTAATATACTACAGATTAGAATACCTAAAAATTTATTTAAAAAGTTATTTTTAAGATTCTGCTAAATTTTAATTATTTGAACAGATACTAATCTCAACTAGATTGCCAAAAAAGTTAAATTATTATTGGTTACAGTTTTTGTGTCTATTGATAAATATTCAGGAAATGCTTTCTTCACTTCAGAAAGTCAGGTTAAATAATAGATATTATTGTTACCAATATTGCTCCATAAATTTCTGCATTTAATTTACGAAATACTTTAAATTCTTTGGTTCACTTTTTTTTCTGCCACACAATTCTGCCACAAAAGTTAAAGATCCTCAGAATGCAAGGTAAATGAAACTAAATATATATAGAAAAATTTAAATAAATGAAAAGCTATATCTTTTCATTTTCTATTCCAAAAAAAAAAAAAGAAAAGATTGAAAGAAGAAATTTGTATTCATTTTCTTCATTATGCTATTAAATGAATATTCTGCCTATAGTTCCACTAATAACCTTCCATAAATAAAATTTGGTTTTTTAGTAAACTTTTTTTTTATTTGATTTTAAAAATACTCCATTTTGTTTAAAAGTAATTAAGAAACAAAAGTTTACTAAAGTTCTTTTGTTGTAATAAATAAAAAATATGAATACTTTTTAATCTTGGAATAAAACCAAATGGAAAATTAAGATGCATTGTTTTTGAATATGTCATATGTATGAAAAGTTTTTTAGGAAATTTAAATAATATGTTATAGGTATGAAAAGTTTTATAAGAAATTTAAATAATATGTTATAGGTATGAAAAGTTTTATAAGAAATTTAAATAATATGTCATAGGTATGAAAAGTTTTATAAGAAATTTAAATAATGTCATAGGTATGAAAAGTTTTATAGGAAATTTAAATAATATGTCATAGGTATGAAAAGTTTTATAGGAAATTTAAATAATATGTCATAGGTATGAAAAGTTTTATAGGAAATTTAAATATGTCATAGGTATGAAAAGTTTTATAGGAAATTTAAATAATGTCATAGGTATGAAAAGTTTTATAGGAAATTTAAATTTAGAGGAAGCAGTTGAGTAATCTAAATAGAAATTAATTTGGTCAGGGTGTTTGTTGATCAATCGAGAAAACTCTACTAATCTTAGTGCTATTAATAATTGACTTAATAGTGTTATTGAAACTAAAAAGGGGAAGGAATATTATTCCTTATCACAACCAATTGCAGTGGCAGCCAAGACCATTGTACACTTTTTACACCCAACTATTTATTTGACTGCTATTTAGAAAATAAAAATTTGAATTGGTCTGTTGTCCTATCTGATGGTCATTCTTCAAGATTTGACAAGTGATGTCTTATTATTTCTAAGAAGCAAAAATAATAGACTTTAACTGGTAAAAAAAGTTAAAAAAAGTTGAATGTGGATTAAAAAGTTGGTATTTCAAGTGGAGAATTCAGCATTGAGAAGATGCAGTGAGAAGTTTTTATGAGTGGAAAATACCAAAAATCATATAACATTAACAGTGGTAAAAATTTCATTTTCAAATCATTTTTTCTATGGCTCACTGACCATTTAAACATTTTTTTTTTGTTTTCTTCTTTTGAAAATGCTGTTTTCAGAAAAAGAAAAAAAAAACAAAGAATAAAGAAAAAATAGATTGCTCTATATTTATACTATGCCTTTGCGATACTATCTAGTTGATGTATTGCCTTTGCCATACATCAACTAAGATAGTTGATGTATGTACTGAAGCCCTTGGCAGCAGGCTATTTTGCAGCAGCAGGCTATGACATCAGAGATGTTGTCTGAACACGCGTTCATAGTTTCATTAATATTCAAAAAAAAATTTTATACAAAGGCCTTCCCATAAAATACAGAAATGAGGTTGGCAATTTTTTGTTGACCTCAAACACTTTTAAGTCAGCAGTCAGGTCAGCATTGCCAAATGCCGACCCTAATTCCATGGGCTGATATATATATATATATATATATATATATATATATATATATATATATATATATATATATATATACACAATTTGTTGCAATTATATATATATATATATATATATATATATATATATATATATATATATATATATATATATATATATATATATATATATATATATACACAATTTGTTGCAATTATATATATATATATATATATATATATATATATATATATATATATATATATATATATATATATATATATATATATATATATATATATATGTTTTAATTCTTTATGATGTAATGTAAAGTTTAGCATTAAGCTAAATGTCCAAAAAAATGTCAAAGTATGTAAAATGTTAGGTAAAATTTAAAATCTATAAATAATCCCCTCACACTTACTCAATAGTTTACTCTTTTTTTAAAAATCATGTTTATTGGTTAAGCAAGTTGCTTAACCAATAAACATGATTTTTAAAAAAAGAGTATTTTTATATATTTTATATATGTGTATTTTTATATATTTTATATAGATGTATAATTATTTTTTTTACTACTTGGTGTAGTTTTTTACATTTACAAAATATTCAAATACTTTTATTTGGAATTAGCATGGTTTTGTTAGCATATTATGTCCAAAAAAGAGCTTTAAATGTTATAATTTTTTTTGCTTAAGGTTTTTATAATATTTAAAGAAACTTTTCTTTTTTATATATAATTTTGAAAAACCTTTTTACTACCCATAATAGTGAATCTAAAAAACACTATTTTGGAGTCTTTAGATCATTTCCGCTCATCGGCATTAACATGAATTTAGTTAAAATCTTTTGAAAAAGTTCCTTGATTTACTACTGATCATAGTTCTAATAGGTTCTGATGTATATTAACTATATATAGTTGTCAAAACACAATATTTCTATCAATTTTCACAAAAAATACTAGAATTCTGACCAAGAAAGAGCTTATAATTATGGAAAATTGCCAATAATTGATCAGAACAAATTATATTGTTAAACTATAATGTTCATTTCACCTAAAAAACGTATCAAAATAAAATCTTTTCAAATTTGGCCGAGCGATTGTAATTTTAAGATGATTTTTTCTAAAAAAAAAAAAAGTCTTCGGTCTGGGTTTTTTTGCTACAAACATTTATATTTTATGATACTGCAAAATTTATATTTATAATTTTTTTTTTGTCTTTTCATAATTCACAGGCCAGACCATTTAACGGAAATATGTCGAAGTACACAAAATATTATACAGAGACTATAATATCTTTAAAGTGCCTTAACTACACCGAGTACAGTCTAATATTTAAAAGAATGAAATGAGTACTTTAAGTTCATCTTTTTTTTGTTTTTGCAGCGGTTTTTTAGTCATGGATAAATTTTATTAACCAAAGCAAATATAATAAATAAACTTATTAACTAAAGCAGATATAATAAATAAAATTATTAAGCAAAACAGGAAATAAATAAACTTCTTACTTAAAAAACTAAGCTTATTGTTTTGAATATAAAACTTACTTCTGTACTGTGACTCTCGTATCATATTTAGTAAAGATTTTATAGATATATAGTTTTAAAGTTAAGAAATAAGATAAAAAGAAACTTTTAATTTTAACAAAATATTATTGTATTAATGGTAAGTCAAGTTTATATTGGCGGTCTTAATTTAAAATTGCTTATTTCATGTTGTCAACTTAACTCTTTTGGCTTAGGAAAGTAAATAAAATTAGAAAAATAAATTATCTATAAGCTTTCTAAACCCTGAAAGTTTTATAAAAATATTCTAGAAGAAAATTAGTTTATTGAAAGTTTCTTTTATCAATAATATTTTTTGTTAAAAAAAGTTTGTTCTAACTATTAAATCCTAATAATTTAATTATAGGTTTCTGTTGCTTCTCGAAAGACTGTTTTACCTTTTGGACCACCTATTCCATTCTCACAGCTGTTTGAAAAAGTACTGGTTTTTTATTTGGTATTTTAATGTTTAATAATTAATTTGAAATGATAATACATCGTTTTATGATTACATATGTTAAAACTAAAAGAAGGTAAACCTAAAAATCTAAAAAGTAAATTATCTAAATTAACAAAATGTAAATTTGTTGATGTTTTTATTTATTTTTATTATTTTTTGTTTATCTATGTGCTTATGTAAATTTAAGATGTTTTTAACTCATCTAATGACTTATAGTTTTTCCAGAGATATTATTCATTCAGTCATTCATCAGTTTTAACTTTTATCTTATATTTATAAATATGGCTGTTTTTGAGGGCAGCTTGGACAATGCATCTTTTTTTTGTGTGTGTGTGTAGTTTTTTCCTTTTTTCCTGATCAAGATCGGTAGGCTATTTCTTTTGTGACCTTATATTTTTTCAGGAATTGAGTATTGTAATTTTTACACATCTAAATATACTTGCAATAATTCTTTCTTTATTGACATCCTTCAATATCATTTTTATCTGTATATTATATGTTTAGATATCTAATCTAAAAAGTAATTAATTATCATATTTCATCATTAATAAATATATATTAGGTTTTATATATAATAACTGTCTAAAACTCAAAAAATATGGGTCATGGTAAGTCTGTTCCACACTGACCATTTCTATACTTATTCTTTATATTGTCTCTTTACTTCAATGTTTTTTAGTAGATAGTAGAAAATTTATTTATTAAAAAATCTAGGTTTTGGGTGAGCAACTTAAGTTTTATACTTTAAAACTTCTTATAATAAACATGGGGAGGAAGTGCACAAATTTTTGTTGTTGTCGCCATTTTTCACGCACTTCACCCTTTTATTTATTTTGAAAAGTTTGAATGTAACATTTTCCTAATTTATAAATTGTCTCTTTACTATGTTAGATGCGCAGATTAATAGATTATGTGAACTACATAAGTATTACTAACACAAGTAAAAGTTGTGAGAAATTTCTCTAAGTGTTTTTTGAAATTTATAGTTATAATAAAATTAAGACCCTTCCATTAAGAATCCCTTCCCCTAAGATTTGAATGTGAGAAAAGTTACTTTAATTATAAGTAATCAAGATTTGAAATCAGCTTTTACTAAAATAATAAAATGCGAAGTAAAAGTATATATATATATATATATATATATATATATATATATATATATATATATATATATATATATATATATATATATATATATATATATATATATATATATATATATTTGCTTATATGAATATATATATTTATTTACAATTAGCAAAACATCAATTATCAAGAAAAAGGAACAAAATATATTACTTTTTGACAATTAAAAAAAACATTAATTGTTAGAAAAAAAGAATAGTATATAATTTTTTCAACAAAGTTTATTTACAAACAAAATGCTCTAAGTTATTATTTAAAAAAAAGTATACATCAGGGATTATCTTTTTCCGGATATTTCCGGAATACCACTTTTTTTTTTTCAACTTATAGTTTTTCTGTATATCCAAAACATTTTCAATAAATGCAAGTTGAGGTATATATTTTTGCAATATATTTGTTTTTTAAGCTTTTTCACTCATCACTCATAGAGAAATTATGAAAAGTATTTAAAAAAAATTAGAATCAACTTAGCTAAAAGCAAAATTAAAATAAAAATAAGGGAAAACCAGTTTCAGATTTTTTCAGGATATTTTATCCAAACAATTTTTCGGATTTTTTAAATATGACTAGGATAACCTATGATACATTTACAAAAAACATTTAACTTAATCTACAACTAGTATATTGACAAACTAAAAAAATACTAATCATAAATGCAGTATAATGTTTTCCTAGCACTTCCTACTCTCATAGGAGGTCACTCCCATTAAAAGGCAGGGCAACACTTTGCACTAAATTTAGGCCCAAACTCTATGTGTCTTATAGGATGCAGGCCCTCTATTCATTCTGCAATATGCTGAAATCTATTGTTAGATAACTCTAAAGTGAAAAAAAGCAATTATAATATGATAAAAGAAATAAAAACATCATATCACACATCAACACTACAAATCAATTAACCTGTGCTGTTGTTAATGCTGTTACTGCTGTTATAAATAAACAAATACATATAAAAACTTGGTTATTAAATCCCTTAATATAACCTTAAATAATAAGAATAATAAAAGAATAAACAAACAATATAAAATATTACCTTTTTTAAAAATGTAACAAAGTGTCTTTTATTGTTATTATTATCTAATTTTTTTTTTTTTTTTTTTTATTTTACTTCACCTCCTCAAGGCCGAGAAGGCCACTAGAAACGAGGAGGCTACTTATTTTGTGGCTATAACCCTCTCTCAACTCTATAACTCCAAAACACGAACCTTGACGAACAAGGCCGCTGCGCGGAGAAACGAGTTGAGCGCGGTACTACCAGGGACGTGGTGGGGATCGAACTCGGAACCACTCGTTTATGAAGCGAGCGCTCTACCACTACACCACTACCGCATTTAATTAAATCATCTAATTAAAAATACTTCACTAAATAATTTAGTCAATATCAAAATTGACTAAAATTATTTAGTTAAGTATTTTTAATTAGATGATTTAATTAAATACGGTAGTGGTGTAGTGGTAATCTAAAATAAAAATAAAAACATAAGTTGTTAAAAAATGGAGTGCAATTTACTTATACATAAAAGAACATCATAACTATTACAATTGGTACTTATTGACTATTTCCATCATGGTTTAATATTTATTTATACTAGCAGTAAGCAACCCCTAATACACGTTGTTAGTAAATAAAATTAAAAAAAAAACGCGTATAGTAAAGCCTAGAAACTACTTTAAAATAGAAAAGCCTAGAAAATGATGTAACTCAACTAATAATAATAATATTAAATTAGCGTATTCATATTATTTATATTTATTAATCATTCATTGTATATAATACAAGGTAAATTATTATAAAGTTGCATTTTTGAAAAGAAATAAGTTTATCTTGGAATATTTACTTCAAGAGTATCTTTGAAGATTTTCCTATGCTCCAATGAGTTCCAGAACTCAATTGCATAGCTTAATATTTGAAGATCTCTTTTAAGAATTATATTTTTTAACACAATTTTTCTTTTTTTTTTTCTTTTGCATTAAGTTCTATAGGTAGTACATTTCGATTGCAATAACCTATGAGCTAGAAAAGGGTGCTTAGCGGTTTAACTTTTTTTGCTGTACGATTGTTGATACATCTTGGATGTGAAACAAAGAATGAATACAGTTTTTGCTGTTTTCGGAAACATTGAAGAGTGATTTAAAAGCATTCCTTCCTACTATATCAAGCTTTTGCATTAATATGTCTTTATAATTGCAAAGCTCAAGGCCATACGTAAGTGCTGGAACCGCCAATGTTTTATATAGCTGGACGATAGAGCTTGGATGAGCAAAGCGGATTCCAGACTGAATGATAATTTGGATTATTGCCCTGAATTTTTATATTCTATTGTCAATATTTTAACAATTAAGTGAGGCTAAAGAAGAGCTTTTAGTATCTCATATAAAACCTAGATGATTGAGTTTATCATCCAGTTTTATTTGTTGGTGGTCGACTGTTATCGTGCAGTTTGCAATTTGTTTTTTTCCGGTGAACAATATCTTGGTCTTATTAGCATTCAACTTCATACAATTTACGTTAGTGTATATATTACAAGCTGCTATAAGCTTTTTAATTCCAGACAGGGTAGAACTAAGAAGTTTGATGTCATCAGCATATGCTGCAACACCTGTGTAATTTCCATAAAATGATGTTCTTACGATACTTTCATTTTGTATGGTTTCTAGTAGGCTTTGAGTATATATATATTATACAGGTGAGGAGACAGAATCGATCCTTGTCTCACTCCTTGTGTTAGATAAAATGGATATGACTTACATCCTAGATAAGTGACAGAAGCACTGCTTTCATGGTACAATGATAAAACATGGTACAATAATATAAAGCTGTAATTTTTTATTGTTGTATAGTTTCTCATAAAATGTCCCAGTTACAGCTGTCAAATGCTTTTTCAGCATCAAGGGAATATAGATAGACAGGTGAGTTGTTGTTGTTGTAATGTTTTATTGTTTCACTTATAACAAATTCGACATGTAAAGTTGAACTGTTTTTGGGGTTGCTGTTTTTTAGCTTCTCAATTTTTGTTTATTGCTTGCAAAGGTTATAATTTTGAACTTTCTTGACATTGTTGCATAAATTTTTATGTGCCATTCGATATCGATTAAAGGTGAACAAGCTTAAATCTTTTTTAAAATCCATCTTGCGCCATTTCTTAAATTTAAATGTAAGAACTTTTTTGCTCCTGCTTAACTTGGGAGTCCACCAAGATTTTGTATATATATATATATATATATATATATATATATATATATATATATATATATATATATATATATATATATATATATATATATATATATATATTTTTTTTCTATTCTTTTATTATAAAATAAAAAATTATTGAAATCTATTCTTTTATTACAAAAAGTGCCTCAGATGCCCTTTTTGTAATAAAAGAATTGATTTCAATAAATTCTTTGTCGTAATTGCTATTTGAAAAGTGAAAAACTTTAAAATTGTTATTTGAACACTCATTATATAATTATATTAAACTTTTATTATTCCAGGCATAATTAGGAATTATTTTATTGTCTATAATTTTGTTAACATTTTCTTGGAGAGATTGACCGCTGAGTCCAATTGTTATTGGCAAATGATGATTTATATTTTGAGATGAAAAATATTGGCAAATGATCACTCATATTTTGAGATAAAAAACATTTCTCATACTGAAGAGAAGTATTCCTTGTGAGAGCTATGTGATCAATGTAAGACGCTTTTGGTAATGTATGATGTTGATACGTTATTTTAGGGCCAGAACCTTCAATTATGTCTACTAATTCAAAATCATTTGTTTTTATAAATTCTAATAAAGATGTGATGAAATTATTTTTCGTGAAGTTCGATCTTTCTAATAAATCATAAATTCTGTCAGAAAATGATTGAAAATTACCAAGTACAATTACTTAACAAATTACCTATATTATATATTATTTTAAGTGAGAATATTATATATTATCTACAAAAAAAAAAGTTAAACAAACTAATATTAAAATAATTTATTACCTGAAATCTCTTTTCCTTATTTTAGTTTATTGTAAAAAAACAATAATAAAAAAAAGGTTCACCCATTAATAAATTACCTATATTATATGATTAGGTCAAATTATCATAAAATATAACAAACACTTTTATTATTTAATTAAAGTTGACAACTTGTGTGTTTGATTAAGGTTGTTTTTTTTATGAAATTTATGTGCTTTATTCCAAACAACAGAAATGTCTTAATTTAGTTTTAGATAAATGTCAAGTTTTGATTTTTTTTTATTCTATTTTTACAATTGAATACGAATATGAATACAAATTGAATTACGTTGAATATAGAATGGAATGAAAATATTACATTTTATAAATGACCATTAAAAACTTCAAAAATTTCCGTCGGGTAAGCTAATATATATATATTTTTTGATTTAAGTCATAAATAGCTATCTAACTTCAATCAAAAAAAAATTACTAATTATTTTTTTATATCAATAATGAGAATTAAAAAAAAAAGCTATAAGGATTGTAGTTTTTTTTTGTCTTCTTTACTCAAACTTAATTAAACAACTATTTAACAAAACTTTTAATCATCTCTTATCTTTTTATTTTTATTTTAACTCTTATAATATATTTTAATTTATTTAATCAAGTTAAGAACATTTCGTTTTCTTCCTACTAAATTTTTTAAGACAAATACAAATTTATATTCTCGTTACAAGTTTATTGAAAATTGTTTATTGTACCTCGAAGTCTTAACTTTTTTATTTGAGTATATTTCATGTGCACAGAGCAATAGCTCCTGCTTTACTGTAAGACCTGATAAAGTGATAGTGCAATACTCATATTTTACATAGATTTAAGATGGAGAACTGTGAATTAACTAGAGGACTCTATCATAAATTTAATTCTATAAATTTCATGAGTTTTACAATGTAAATAATGTTGTTAACTTTTTACTTATATTTTGTTTTTCAGAATGAATTTTTTCATGATTGGCTGTTTGCAAAAATGATAAATGGAGAAAGATCAAGTTATCGTTCACTTAAATTTTTTACAATGCAGGTTTGTTTGTTTAGAAGCTTTTATAGTCACTTATTTACAACTATTAACACATTGTTTGCTGGTAGATTTTGCTGCGATTTCACAAGGATAAATAAAATGTTAATTTTAAATTAAATTGATTTTTTAAAATACTAAAATGAAGGTGAAATACAAAAATACTGTGAAAAAAAACCATGTTGTTACACTAACCCTTACTAGTATGGGAGCACTCTATGCATGTATATATATAAAATTTATTTGTATATATATCAGTTGCGGAAAAAATTAACTAACATTGTTGATGAAATCGAAACTTGAATAATAAAAACAAAATTATTTATGTCAGGACCTATGCAACTGCAATAATTTTATGTTTTTTTTTAAATATGATTCCAAAGAAAAAACAAATATATTTTTAAATCTTTATAAATCATTGCAAAAGTAACTCTATTACTTTTTTGTCCAAAATAAATGCAACAAAAGTAAGAAACATCTGAGTTTTTATTATGAAATATGTTTTGTCAGTAATATATATTAAAAATACAAGAATATCATGTCTGATTTTTATTTTAGTACTTTGTTGCACCACCATTTGGTTTCACGACTGGTCCTAAATGTCTTGGCATGCTTTTTACAAGCATTGGCGTGACGACAGCACTAATTAAATTCCAAGTTTCACTATGAACCTCAAAAAAATCTTTTATATTTGTTCGTTTTGAAAGAGGTATTTTAGATTTTCAAATTGCCCATAAATTTTTAATGGGGTTAAGGTCCAGGCTTTGTGGCAGCCATTAAAGGATGTTAACTTTACTTTTTTTGAGCAACTGTTGTGCTACTTCGGTGGTGTGTTTAGTGTGATTGTCTTGTTGAAAAGAGAATTTGCAATCTAAATTCAATTCTTTAGTGTATTAACATAAATTTTTCGAAAGCAAATCAACATACAATTGTCCTGTCATTATACCTTCAACATTCACTAGTCTTCCACTCCATTGAAGCAAAGCATCCCCAAACCATAATTGAGCAACCTCCATGCTTGACAGTTTTCTTAAGATTTCTATCTAAAAGTGCATCACAAAGTCTGTGCCAAACTCTTTGTCATTTTTTAAAGCCAAATATTTGAAATTTACTCTCATCAGACAATAACACTGAGTTCCAAAATGCCTCACCCTTGTTAATATGCAGTTTTGCTAACGCTAAGCGTTTTTTTTTTTTTTTATATACCAGTAATGAAAGGGGTTACTTTTCTAAAGACGGTTTATTAAACCACTTTAATCAAGTATTCTCTGTATAGTTCAACTGGACACATTTAATTTAAGATTTTCAACAATCTGTCTTGAGGTTATTGTTGAATTTTGTTTTGTTATTTGTGCAATTAGCATATCAGTTCTTGTTGAAGTCTTTGGGGGTCAACCAAATCTTTTCTGATTTTCAATAGAACCAGTTGTTTCAAATTTTATACACATCTTTTTAACACCACTTATTGGTGTTTGGTATTTTTCTGCACATTGCTTGTAGGTTAGGTCCTTTTTTCAATTACAAATGACCTAAGATCGGATGTCCAATGAATAATTTTGATGATGAACCATTATTACTACATGGATTGATAAGTTCCCGGAATTCCAAGAAAAACAAACAAAATATCGGGAAAAATATGTTTTATTCTTCTACATAATCACCTTTTAGAACAATACATTTATTCCATCGATCTTTCAACATTTCAATTCCCTTCTTAAAATGATTTTTGTCAAGTCCCTCATAATATCCATTCGTTTCTTTTCCGACTTCTTCATTTGTTGCGAACCTCTTTCCCTGGAGCCATCTTTTCAAAATAGGAAATAAAAAGTAGTCACTGGGTGCTAAATCTGGCGAATAAGCTGGCTGGGGAAGTATTTCCCATCCTAACTCATCAAGTTTTGCCATTGCTTTTAATGACGTGTGAGATGGCGCATTGTCATAATGGTACAAAATATTTTTCTTCCGCAAATGTGGTTGGCTTTTCTGAATCTCATCCCGTATACGATTTAATAAGGTGGCATAATACTCTCCAGTGATCGTCTTTCCTTTTTCTAAGAAATTAATAAATATTATGCCACGTGCGTCCCAAAAGACACTTGCCATAACCTTTCCAGTTGATTGCTTTTCGGTTGCTTTGGTCAACTTTCCCCAGGTTTTAACCACTGTGCTTATTGTTGCCTCGACTCGGGTGTGTAGTAATGGATCCACATTTCATCCATCTTAATAAAACGACGCAAAAATTCTGATGGATTGCGATTAAACATGTCCAAACACTGTTGAGAAGCCATCACTCGGTTGCGTTTTTGGTCGACAGTCAACACGCGCGGCACCCATCTGGCAGCAAGCTTTTTTATTTCCAAATGTTTGTGTAAAATATTAAAAACACGTTTATAAGAAATGTTTACACGGTTAGCAATTTCACGAACTTTGATTTTACGATTTTCTATCACAATATCATGAATTTTTTCGATCGTTTCTTCAGTTGTGACCTCTTTTGGCCTTGCTAAACGTTCTGGGTTACTTGTGCTTGAACAACCACGTTTGAATTCATTATACCAATCGTAAACAGTTGTTTTCAATTGAGCAGAGGAACCCAAAGTTTTATTGAAGTCACTTATTATTTCTTGAGGTTTTAAGCCTTTCAAATATTGATATTTTATCACTGCCCGAATTTCAGTTTTTTTCATATCAGTAAAAAAATCGAGATTATTTTACTTCACTTGCTATAAACACAAAACTAGATAATTAACTGACTTAAAATTTATATAGTAATCGTATACAGGTCTGAACTTGCCGTACATATAAATTTTATCTTTATAGGGATGATTCATACATCCCATTCCGGGAACTTATCAATCCATGTAGTATTGTTAGTTTTACTTTTTCTAAAAATCAATTCCAAAAAAATATAGTTTAAAATGCTTTTTTTAACAAATTTAACAAAATCTCTTTAGTAATAATCATTTTTAATAAATAGTTATTGACAAAATATAATATTTCATAATAAAAACTCAAATGTTTCTTACTTTTGTCACATTTATTTTTCAAAAAAAATTTGTAAAATAGCTAATTTTGTTTAAAAGAGTTACTTTTGCAAGGAGTTATAAAAAATTTTTTTTTTCTTAGGAATAAATTTTTTCTTAGGAATAAAAAACATAAAATATTGCAGTTATGTAAATCTTGACGAAAATAATTTTGTTTTTATTGTTAGAGTATCAATTTTATCAACAATGTTATTTAATTTTGTCTGTAATTGTATATATACTTTATATATATATATATATATATATATATATATATATATGTATGTATATATATATATATATATATATATATATGTATGTATACATATACAAATAGTATTGCGTACTAAGGTAAGCAATCTGGCGTCATACTGAAATAGCCTGCTGCTGGAGGCTTCAGTACATACTTCGACTGACAAATAGCCTGACTCGCAATGGAGTGCTGCTACATCGACTGAGGGTTTGGGATGGGGCAGCAATCGTTTAATTCATCATACTTTGTTTTTTTCTTCTTTTTCTAAAAAAGCCGTATGGGTTAAGGTAAGCAAAAAAAGTGAGCAAATGCTTATAAAAATACGCTTTAGTAAGTGTGTATATATATATATATATATATATATATATATATATATATATATATATATATATATATATATATATATGAAAAATCGTTTTTGACATAAGTACTACTATGTATTCAATTGTATTTAGAATGTCATAGTCATGTAATACAATAAATTTTCAATCCAACAATGACTCAGATCATTGACCTTGCTCTTGCTTGTTGCACAGAAGGAATCAAAGGTGCAATTTGACTTTATTTTTGTATGATGAATAAATTTTCTCCACTAATTTGATTGCGTGCTCTGCACATTGATTACTTCTGTGTATCTGTAGTATGGATGGCTCTCGCTTCAAGTAATTTTTCAAAGAGTTTAAAGCCTTTTTGTCTGTAAAACAATGGTCTGCCCAGCCATACGATATAAATTGACATTAAAATGAAGACTGGGATCGCTAGTATAGCTCTTGAGTTCCACCTCGCATTGCTGATGTTGGGTATTTTCTGAAACCTGATCGATGGAAAATGTCCCTTTTCCTCAAAAAATCAAAACACTGGAGTGAGATAAAACAAAAATTTCATATAATCTCTCCAGCCTTATGTTTCAAGAACTACTTCTTTTCCGTTATCAAACTGTGTTTTCAGTTGTTTGTACTCCTTCAATAGTT